AAAAACCACTCGGAGTATTGTTATAGTTTTAGTTTTCTTATTTCCTCTAACAAACCCTTGGGAAGATTTCTTCAATAACTCACCTTGGATTTAAATAAATACTTGGAGGGTGGGGAGAAGGAAATGTTCCTGTAGTTAGCTGAAAGTTATATGTTGGAATGAAGTTAACACAGAGGATTAGTAAAGGGAAAACCATGAAGGGGGATACATATCTTAGAGAAGAAAGGAACATATGAAGGAAAATCAGTAAGAGAGCTCGTGCACTTTATGAGTAGAAGGTAAACATTTCTTCTACTGTGAAATTTAATATTCTGTTTTAAATTTTACAGTTTTTAAAAGGTGCCTATATTACTCTGCTAGGGCTGCCATAACAAAATATCATAGACTGGGTGACTTAAACAACAGAAATTCATCTCCTCATAGTTCTGGCAATTAAATGTCTGGGATCAAGGTGCTGGTAAGTTGGTTTCCCTAAGGTCTTACACCTTGCTTTGGAGATGGCTGCCTTCTCACATGGCCTTTATTCTGTGAGAGTCTGTCCCTAGTATCTCTTCCTCTACATTTAAGGACAACAATGCTATTGGATTAGGGTCCCACACTTATGACCTCATTGAACTGTAATTATCTTTTTTAAAGGCTCTATCTCCAAATGTACTTATGGGTAAGTTAAGGCTTCAGTATATGACTTTTGAGGAAAAAATTAACAATGTCCGTCCCAAATAATAAATATGATTTGTGATCAAGCATAGTAATTTTTTTTTAAGAAGCATTGTATTTACTGAAGTCTCTTCTTAAAGCATATGGTAGACTCATGGTTGTTGAATGCATGAAACAATTCAGAATGTCATTTTGATAGCTTATTATAAAAACATGGAGAAATTAGAGGACACTGATTTACTTTCTATATGTATAATTATGATTCACTTACCATTTGAGCCATGTTTATTTTCTCATTTGTAAGATAAGGAATTCATAGTTACAGTTATTCTGCAATGAATTCAGTGAAATAATAGAGATAAAGAAAAACATTGAAAAATGTAAAGCACTATACAAATGTTGCTTATTTTTCTGTTTTCTATTGGTATACACCACAAACTATAACCTGTAGTAATATTCAAAATAATATTTATTCTTTTTCAAGGCAATTGAAGGAAACATAAATTAACAAAATAAACCAAAATGTAAGAATGAAATAAACCACGGGCAATATATTTAAGTAAACAGGAGAATTGAAACTTTCCTCTGGAAATAGGATAATTAGGAGGGAAATTATTAATGTGAGTTTTGTTTAGTTACTTTTATGAAAATACTAAGCTACGTAAATACAATGAGCACAGCAACAATGACAAAATAGTAAGGAAAATTACCCAAGCTTGATAAAGTGTTATATGCTAATAGTCACTTGAACTTATTTTCTTTTATATTCTTTTAACCTTTCCCTGATACACAATCACATGAGGCACTTAATAACATAGTTTTATTAAACTAGCTATATTATCAGGTAAGGCTCAAAAACAGAATATAGTGAAAAAGTGTCATATCATTTCTTCCTTACTGGAAGATGGAAAAATACAAACTCCTGTGTCTTATGGTATGGGCTGGAAGTTGGCCAAAGTGTGTTGCTATGGCTCTTCAGTGAATCTACATCTTTTTTTTACAGTATCTAGCAGTAAGACAGGTTCTTTCTTGGGCCCTGGTGACAACATGTATATCACTAGTACTTACTCTGCCAAAAACTGGCATTGAACAAAGCTCTTGAGAGTCTTACATGGCAGTAAATGGAATAGAAGGGATGGGGAATCAGGAACAGCCTTTAAATCTGACTCTTCTTCTGCTAAAAGTCAAATGATATGAAATGGCCCTACTCGTATACATCTCTCTGCAGCACAGTTCCAAGAAAATAAGTTCTATATTGATCCTGAACATTAGTATGTCTGTATTAAACTAAGTCCTTGTGATGTATTGCATAACAAATCAAACTTTTGAAAAATCCCTTTTATTGGTATCATTGTTTTACAAGAGTGTATTCATTTAAATATGAATGTTCTGAGATAGGAGTCAATTTGGTGAAGAGGAGTTCTTCTTTTCGTTTTGAGTTATCTGGTAATTTTTTAAATGATAGCATTAAAAAGTATTTCTAAAATAATTTTTTAGCCTATCAACTGTAAGGATTCTTAATAATCCCATTTGTTATTTCCCTCTATTTATCTTTTTCCTTTCTTATGTGGTATTTTGTAACTGGACCCTTCACTGCCTCTTTTGACCTATCCCTGATGTTCATCTATTTTGACTAAGATCTAATTTATTTTAGGTTAGAAAAAAGCTAAAAGCTGAGGAAATAATCATGCATAAAGCATATTAGTATATAACCCCATCTTGGTTCTTTGAAAAGGTCTTTGGTGGAGATGGCATCCAAGCAATCCCCAAAGGCTAAACAGAAATTAGCCAGGTGGAAGTGGGCACAGGAACACTACAGCATGTGCAGAAGCCCTGAGGCAAAAGAACAGGGTGCTGTTGGGAAATTACTGGTAATTTTGTATGGTTAAATAGTAGAGCTGAAAGATGAAGAAGCATTACAAATGAGCTAGAGAAATAAACTCATGAAGGGCTTTAGGCACAAAGAAAAGGAGTCCAACCTGTGTTTAGAGGTCACACAGAAATGATTAAAGGGATTTTAATCTGGAAAGTAGCATATTTCAGTTTACACCCTACAAGATGCCTCTGGCAAAAGGTAGAGAATTATTTCAATGGGGTAAGTGTAGAGAAAAAAATAATGAACATTGATTTCCATTATACTCTGCTATTGTTAAATACATTTTGGTGTGATACTGTTGTCTTTAAAAATCTGAAATTCCGGTAATTTGAATAGGATGTATATATTAAATCTATGTGAGAGGACAAATCTATTAAAAATTGCCAAGTCCAGAGTCACAGCGGACAAGCATCCTGTGATAATATGTCATTGCTCCTTGCCTATGATTTGTGATTGAGACAACAGGCTGGTCGATCTTTTCACTGGATGGGGGATTATGCAGTTTCATCAGTGCCAAAATTTTTGCAAAACATATCTATTCCTTCATAGGGCATTGTATGCTAATTAAAATATCTAAATAAAAAAAAGTTTATTCTGGAGTATCTATATAATTCTCAAGAAACTACAAATAAGACATGGCATTATTTAAATTGAAGGAGCCAGAAAAAATACTTGGAGTTAACTTTTAACTATTGCCTTACTATTCTATCAAGTAGTAAAAGTTGTATCCCAGCCATGACTCCATTGACACATGTTTTTAGGACTAATACTTCATATTATTGAGAACAATATTGTTTAAATGCAATATTAGCTTATTTTAATTTAATGTTAAATAATACTTAATTTTATTATGTTGATAAATTTTATATTTGAATTGTGTTAAATTGTAGTGCTGAGTTTATTTTATGAGTTCTGAATTTTGAATTTGCAAAAATAGATACTGAAATACTAGTATTGCCATTCTATTCTGGTATTGCTTTCACTGGTAAAATGGTTAAAAGGCTGTTGTATTCATCCATTGATGATGGTGGGGTGAATGCAGACAGTGGTGACTGGAGAGAGAGGAAAGTAAAAAAATGAAATGGAATCAATAAGACTTGGCAGTTTGCATAATATAGGGTGTAAATGGAAGCAGAGGAAAAAAGATACCTTCTCTTCCTGTATGAACTTTGAGTCAATGAAGTTATGAACATTACATTCACATAGAGAGAGAACACACAAGAGAAAGGAAGAAAGCTGAAAAGAAAGTAACTGAACAAGCAAGAAGACAGCTAGAAAAATAGCATCACTTCAGAAAAATGCTACAATTTCAGTGATTAAATGATCAGAAAATCCATACCCCCTTCCCACTGCCATCTCTATCTTGTTTGGGGAAACTTTATAGATACCAAATACACTGTGATGAATGTGGCATCTCTTCTGGGACAGCAGAGTTAAATTAATAACATGTTGAAGAAACTAGACAGTGAATGACAATAATCTGGAGTCTGAGCACAGGACTTCCTGAGTTCCATAAATCTGAGCTACTTTGAATCTGATTAGAGCCAGTGCCTCTAGGTTTATTGCCAGTAAAGGTTAAGAGTAGTTTCTAACCTTACAGTTAGGAATGCAATGTGTGTACGTGGGGGACTGGCGTACTCTTGCATTCCTATGATGGAAATGTGAATATATTTTCCCAGAAAGATGATTCTCTGCAGTGATTATTTCCATCGTATTGTTAGAACATTCCTCTGAATACTTGATAGGGTTAATAACCTATTAACATCTGGTCAAGGAACCTTACCAGTTTTATTTGGAATTTGGAATGCATTTCCCTATTTTAACAAATCTAGTTAGAAAATAATTAATGGTACAACTGATTGGAAACTACTTAAACTTTACATTAGTAAATGTCAAGTTTGAAAGTTTTGTTAAGATGGGTCAGTCCAAGAGCATCGGGTAGATCATCAAGCTACTTTATGTTAAAGAGACTATACTCAGAATCTTCGTTTACCTTTTAGCTTGAGAGCACTTTAAATATTTATGCCCTTTTTTTTCTGATCTCTTTCCCCTAATTGCTTCACCTTTAGAAACTAATGTTATACTTAATGTAAAAAGTCTGGTATATATAGCTCTCTCCCATTCTATGTACCATGCTTGAAAATTCTAAGTTGAGGGCTGTAAATATTAATCCTCTAATTGTTATAAAGGCTTGAAACATTAAGAAGTTTATACTAAAGAGTTGAATTATGCTATTAACTTTGTTTTCTGCAATTTGAGTTAAGTAGAATCATGATCATGCCTTTGTTTGGCTCTGGTCATATGGCCATCATCATACTGAAGTGCCACATAGATACCGTGGTACTGGCTTATTTTTCCCATGTGGAGGGCTCTTGGAATTGTCCAATGAAGATGGTTTCTGAAGTGTGAGGACACCTCGAGGTGATGAGCAAGCAATGTAGGTCTTTTCTTTTGAATTTTATTTCAGAAATCTCTACCACAGGACCTCTGGGCATGGGAAGTACCACCACCAGTACCACCCTGCGGACCACAACTTGGAGCCCAGGCAGGAGTACCACGCCATCAGTGTCGGGAAGAAGAAACCGGAGTACCAGCACCCCATCTCCAGCTGTGGAGGTGCTTGACGACATTACCACACATCTGCCATCAGCAGCATCCCAAATCCCAGCCCTGGAAGAGAGCTGTGAAGCCGTGGAAGCCCGAGAAATCATGTGGTTTAAGACCCGTCAAGGACAGATGGCAAAGCAGCCGTGCCCTGCAGGAACTATAGGTAAGCATGTCCTACGGAGCTAAGCTAAGGGTATTTTGTCTCTTCAGCTTGCTTTTCTGGTCACTTTTCTTTAGTTTTTTGTTTGTTTGTTTGTATGTTACTACATATTTTTGTTAGTTCACTTGAATTCTGAACTCAGCTGAATGACAGTTTCAAATAGTGTATGTTCAGAGTTTGAAAATACGTTCTGAAGAAATCACCAGTGAGGATTTGGTGGGAAGACACGTGAGGTCAGACACACGCCCGTGGTGGGAGATACCTGGGTGGAGTTGCAGTTAGGCTGTGCATGTCCTGGCTAGTCCAGAAGACCAGCCCTTTTGCTCAGCCCAGAGTGAATCACTGGACTGGAAGGGGACTAGTTCCCGTGACTGACACCAACCATCAACTGTTGATTGCAGAAAATGAGATCAAGGACTTTTACATTACAAGATGATTGTTGAAACTACCTAAATTTAACAGAAGAGGAAGTTTGACTCTCCTTCTCATAAATCATCGTAGCCATCCCTTAATAATCAAGGGCTCTTCACCTAGACAGGAGCAAGCCTCCCACTACTCAATATCCACTCGAGAGAGCAAGCTCCATTGTTTCCTCAAGGAGACAGTTAAGAGATAAATAGTTTTTCTCTCATGACCCCTTTTTTACTGATGTGACTCGTAACATCCCCCAATGTTAACCATATTATTATTTACAATTTTTAAGCAGACATAGCCTGATTTTCTTATTGTTGCATACATTGATCTTCATAAAACTAACCCTTGATACAGTACATAAAATTTGCCTTATTTCATAAAATATGTAAAGAAAGAAAACACACAATAGATGTCACTGTGCTAACAATAGTGACTACGTCTTTGGGTAGTATTGATTTGGTTACTTCACAGAGGTTTGTCTTAGAATCATTCCAGTGGGGATATAGTATTCTGAATTCTATAGTATATGAAGTGGTAGGAAGGCCAAAAAGAATATTTACTTTTACACAAGCCCACATGTAATTTTTTTTCAGCAAAGTATTTAAAGATATTATGAAATCTTTCTTCCCTTTAGGAAAGGGTGCAATGTTTAGTTCTAACGTTTTCTCTGGTTAGAGACGTTTACTGGAATCAAACTGATTTGATTCCAGTAGTTTGAAACCTTGTCTTTTAACACTGTCCCCTTCATTCTGGGCCTCAGCTCCTTCATTTCTAAAAGAGAAATAATAACAACCCCCAACTTCCGATGTTTGTTGTGAAGGTTAGTGAAATACTTTATTTAAAAGCACGACTGAAATATGTCATTATTGTTCTGTGAAAATTGGGAGAGAGATTTAAAGGGAGCCTCTGGAACCCTCCCAGGTGAATGTCCCAGTGCTGACACCTTATTTTTAACCTTTTTTTGTCTCCTTTGCTATAGTCATTTAGACCCACACATGTTGTCACTTGAATTATTGTGATAGTGCCCCCAAACCTTCACATCTTCCCCTCAAATTCATCCTTTGTGCTGCTGCCACAGTTATCCTATTAAAACCTTCATCAGCTCATTTCTCTCCTCTGCTTAATGTTCATTGATTTTCCAGCACCCACAGGTGGCAGACAAGAGAGTTTAAGATCTGACTTTGCCTGCCTTGCTGAGTCCATTAAACACAACTCCCCTGTACAGTAGACCTCAATTTAAAACATTTGAAGTTTCCCATGGGCACCTGGTGTGCCCTTTCGTCCCTTGTCTTCCTGAAAATCCTGCAGACTGACTCCCTTAAGACTCAGTCGCTACCTTGTCTCTGAAAACCCACACAATAAGCCCAATGGAGGCAGGCCCCACATCTGTCTAATTTATAAAATTGTTCTCTGTACCTGGTGTAATTGCCAGCAAGCGCTTTAAAAATATTGAATGTTTTTGGTTGTTCCATTGCATTTTTCCAATGTCAGTTGTTTGTCAGGCTCTGTATGTGGTGTTTCAATAAGCATTAGCTTAGTTTAAGGATCTCAATTTTGCCTTTGTTCGTATTTAAACGTAACCTGGATATAAAGTCGTTGTAAGAAACATGGTTTGAATATTTGAAGCAGACCCCTTTTCTATCATTATTTTAGGAGTGTCAACATATCTATGTCTGGCTCCTGATGGAATCTGGGATCCCCAAGGACCGGATCTTAGCAACTGTTCTTCTCCTTGGGTCAACCATATAACACAGAAGGTAAATCATGTCACTGACAAGGAAGGTATTGCCAAACTTAGATCCTGTGCTGTTGATTCTAATTGTTGCAAACACACTAGCTAAGATTTTTTAAATTAATGTGGAAGTAGTCTCCCATTTTATTTTTATTTAAGATTTAATGACAACCTTTGATATGCTATGAGCTAATCTAGAATTTTGTTGTTTAAAAGGCAAATCCATAAACTTCCTCTAAACCAGGCAGTATTGCTTACAATAATTTTATTATTAATAAAATTTTTATGATATTGTGAACTATAGGTATAAAAGTCCAAGAGGTATTATAAATCAAACAAGCAAAAGCTTCTAGCATACATGCATATGAATTTTCCTATGGAAATAATAATTACCAAAAATAAAAGTCTACCCTTGGATTCTTATGCTATTTGAAAATTGTTATGCAACCTAATCACTTATCATTGTTAATAGTATACATATGTGTGACAGAATCTTGCAGACTCAAATTTTCAGGGCTTATTTGGTTGCAATATGTTGAACACTTTTATTATTAATGCACTGTGGGGCTTTGAATTGATTTCATTACAAACAGAGACCAGATGTGCATTTGTGCCAAAAGGGCTATGGGATGAATGCTTATTATAGCAATTTGTGTGGATTTATGCACTCCTAAAATGAAGAGTCCTTCTATGACACATCAGCTATGCTGAGGAATCTCTGAAAGAGATTTTTTCCTGAGAAATATTACGAATGATGGCCTTACTAAACGCCTGTCTGTGCCATTTGCTCTTCTCTCTATTTGTTTTTAACCAGGCCAATCCTCAATAATATACTGTATAATAATCCATAAATATCTGCCCAGTAGATTATTTAGCAGATGAGCCATAACTATCTATTTATCCTAAATCATGGAAGAACAGTGGTTATATTGACTCTAGTTACCCTCTTACATATGCATCTCCATACTTGTTGCTATTCATAATGATGCTTCTCCAATTTCAGCACTGTTCCTGCCACAGTTTTTATGTCCTTTGATTTTATTACAATGTAGCTCAGACCCCAGGGCAAATAACTCTTGCTGGATGTGATCAGATTAAGAGATCAGTAGCCTATCTCCTTACATTAGCAACTTTTAAAAAATATCCTTACATACTTAGCCCAGGGGTGGATATTAATTCAGTAATAATTCACATAGAAAGCTGAGTGTTTTCATGATAATTCTTGAATATGGTTAAGACTGTTTCATTGCAGGAATTACTGGGTGACTTTAACTGATAATGATGCTTAATTCTTTTCTTTCCTCTGCAGACCTCCTAATCTTATGACAAAAGAGATAATTCTTTGCAAAGACCAGACAGCTGTTGCCCATTTGATTTGTGGATGGGTGTTTTTTTTTAATATAACAAATATGTTCCATTATTCCAGAGCAATTCTGTTTAATCCTGTAGAGTCTGTAAAATTATGTAAGATTATAATTATAGTAAGATTATAGAATTTAGGCAATTGGAATTTATAATAATACCCTAGCTTCAGTTTTCATAAGTTTATAAAATCTTCAAAAGTATAATAGGAGGCTTTGGAGCACTCTGAATCAGATTATACAAGTAGCCCCAGATTGGTGTTGGAGCTGGGGTTTTAGCTGTGTCTTCCTTTATCAAGACATCATGCAGAGCCACAAGACTGGTTAAACTGCACAGATTTACTGCCTTTATATCACACTTACTTCCCTAGACTGTCTTTACTTTTGTCAACCCTTTTGCTCAGTGTGTCCCCCATACCTCCTATTATTTATACTATCCATTGAAAATAAATGGTAGTTGAACAGGTTTCTTTACCACAAAACACTTTTAAATATTTACATTGTAAACCTCCAACAGAGAATTTGTGTGCAGTGTTCACTGAGCAATTTGTCCATAGTATCTTCCTACTCTCCAAAGCATCTTTCACAGAATTCATACCTTTGCTCATTTCCTCCCTCAGTCCCAGATAGAACATTGGAAGAGTGTTTGTTTACAACAGTTTTGGGGGAGCAAAGGTGCACTGTGAGGGATTGAACAGGAACCCAGTGGTAGTAACAGAGGAGGAGCTATTCCCAACTGCTGGCCTACAGTTGCTGGATCAAAGGAGTGACCAAAAATTGGAAGCAGAGATCTTTGAGAGGAAAGATGACCTACAGACAAGAGACTCAGCCTAGCCCCAGGCAACTTTTCAGAAAGAGACCAAAGGAAAATAAATACACTGACCTTACTCTCCCTCCTCCTTCCATTCACTTGCCCACCCTCCCCATTGGACAAACCCAGTGGAAGCCAGAGAAGAGGGGTGCTCTGATAACAGTCTTGTAAGCTCACCCTCTAGGGTAGAGAGTAAGATGGAGGAAATTGGAAAGTGGCCTTGACCCGGGAATTGAATAATTCTCAGCTTCGTATTCCCCTTCTCTTATCCCTCTTCCCTTTCCCATTCTCTTCCTCTTCTCCTTTCTCCCTGCACTGCCGCTCTTCCTCCCTTCTCCCTTCCCATGCCCTGTCCCCTCTCCTCTGCTCTGAACTTCCTCCCTTTCTAGTGGATTTTTTATTTCATGTTGAAAACTTAAAGTGAAACAGTTATCTTTCATGATTCATTCCTTCTCTCTTCCCCCTTTGTAGTCTTGTGAACTTCAAACTTTTAAAATAAAGGAACACTATTTACCCCCAATGAAAGCATAGATGAGAAAAGAAAGGAGGGAGTGTTTTTCTGTTAACAGTGTATTCAGTTTGCCCTAGTCATGAGCTTCTGAGTGAATATATCCTGGGGTGTGAGGCACCTGCTTTATGGCTGTATAGCGCTTCTCGGGGAATTCCTGAGGGCTTTTGAGGAAAGAACACCCCTGTATCACACTCTCAGCATCAATGCCACAGGGAGGATCATTCTTTTCATTATCACTAATACTGTCCACCCACTGTGTGTCTAGCACCACTGTAGACAGCAAGTATATACAAGTACACGGGTCAGGATGCTTACTTTAGTTTGAAAAAGCAAACTGTATTTTCATGCTTATTAAGAAATGAATTATGCACACACATCTCTGCCCCCATTCTGGTAGTCAGGGAGGGAGGGAGAAAACAGGCAAAGAATTTTGATGCCTTCTGATTCACGAATGAATTCAGGCCACTGACATACTGGTGAAATTATATATTAAATTTTATGGGGTGATAAAGAGTGCGTTACATTTTATTAGCAAAAATGTAAGCCTTTAAAATCAGAATTTCATGAAGAAATTTGTTGCAAACTAGCAAGAATACTCCGATGATGTTGAGGTTTAATAAAAATATAATATGTACAGAAAGGGCAAAGCAAAAAGTTTTGCACAAAGCGACCTTTACCCCTGCAACAATAGACAGGAAGGTGGGAGAGAGAGGGAGAGAGAAAAATTGGCAGGTAGGTGGATAGATAGATGGGTGGATGGGTGAATGGGGGGGTGGGTGGATGGATGGATGGATGGATGGATAGAAGAAAGGGCAGGTTCAAAGATAAATAGATGAGTGGATAGAAAGATAGATTAGTCTACTAATTAATCTTTAAAAGTATTTTCCAACTTTTCTTGAAAGTCAGCAAATTAGTTCAGAGCTCAGCTTCTTCACACATATGTAGCAAAATATCGTATTTTCTCACCATAATGACTATTTACTAAAATAAAGTCTCTCACTTCAGCTTGATCTCTAGATTAGACTCAAATTCTCCAAAAGGAGTTTATATTTTCTGTGTTTCATACCTTCAAAGAGCTTATTGCACTTTATATTCCCTCCAGTCTTTTTCAACTTAAAATTCTTTGAAATTACAGTTTTGAATGGCTTCCATTTTACTTTGCATGTAAAGTGAGGTAATCTTCCTCCTTTATCATCTAGTCCAACTATTATATGGAAAAGAAATGCCTGAATTGTCACTGGAAAATAGTCTTTCTATTTCTAGCAAACTGAGGAGTCTTGTCTTTTGTTTGTTCACCAGCTACTGACAGATTTTGAGATAAGTAGAGTTCTTCCTGCATTTTCTAAAGAATGATGTGAAGATCTAGAATTGTTGCTATTTTATGGTATAAATTAAGCGGGTTGCCTGTCTTGAAAGACTATCCTGTCACCCAGATTTTAATTTCTCCATTCTTTTCATTTCCATAGAGATTCCGTAAATTGCTCCTTAATTTTATCAGAGATTGTTAGGGTTTCTAGGACTTCAGGCTTATTTAACCTACTTTCAGTTGTAAGATAGAAGCATTTAATTGTTTCTATACCTACTTGACTCTGATTTATAACACAATTGCATAAGTAGATCTGTCAAAGAAATGATAGCTATATACTTAAACACTATGAGAAACTCCTTCATGAATTGGTTTGGCACCCGATTAATGTTTGATGTAATAAATCTCATAAAACATCAAAGCTTATTTCAAAGAAAATTGTTTTTACATGTGTCAAAATTTGACATGTAAATAGTATCCATCTGTGTCATAATTATCCTCAACTAAAGCTGCAGGGTTTTCCCTCCCCTATTCAAGTCCTGGATATAATCCTACCATTTCAATACAGGCATTAATTTACTAATCCTCACAGAACTCGTAAGATTTCTCAGTGTGCATATGCTTATTGCTGAGAAATAACTTCAGCAGAATATTGTGCAAGAAATGTTAGAGACAGACATTTTCATTAGGTCTGTAAGCTAGGATATACAGAATAGCATTATTTCAACCCTGCCTCTGCACAGAAGACTTGAGGCAGATTCAAGAGATGCATGTATTATTTGTTATATACAAATGAGATACTTATGGTCCATGACTACTGGGGCGAGAGAAGTAAATAGGGCCATCAGGACAGTGGACTAGCCTCTCGCTGCCACTAGAAAGAATATAATCACTATTTCCCCCCTTCTTCTTCCCCACGGTCCTCCATTAAGTTCCTCCTAATCCTCCTATACATGCAAACATATGGTATTTGTCCTTCTCTGCCTGACTTATAACCATGAGAGACCCTTGAATGCTGAGAACAAACTGAGGACTGATGGGTGTGGGGGGTGGGGTGATGGGCATGGAGGCGGGCACTTGTGGGGATGAGCACTGGGTGTTATATAGAAACCAACTTGACAATAAACTATTTGTGTAAAAAAAAAAAAAGTATAATCAGTGAAAGCCTGGGCTAGAAAGCAACTTTTGAACTCAGCGGTGAATGTTGAGGTCACAATGGTTGTTGGAGAATCCAGTTAATGGCATTACCATGGAGCATGGAGTGCCTGTCTTTCCTTCCCCTCCCACATCCAGTCAGAGAGTAGGCCTGTCCTTGTACTTATAAGTCTCTCCCAAATCAGGCCACTTTTCACCAGTCTCCACTGCTGCTACCCTAATCTACAACAGCTTCTACTGCTGTAGCCTCTTGGCAAGTACCCTTTCATTCATTCATTCACTCCTGAACCCTCTAATCCATTCTCGTGAGTTGGATTTCAAACACAGCTCATTAAATCACTCCTGTTTAGACATATTAGTACTTTCCCTTCATCTTAGCACGATTCCCAAAATCTTCATCGTGACTTATGAAGGGGACCACTTAATCCGCCCCTTGCTCACTTCTCTGGCTGTCTAAATTCAGTTTTAGCACAACTTGTGCAGTTCCCCTAGGATCCCATGCTCCTCCCTCCTGAAAGTGTCCTCTGCCTAGAGGCCTTCACCTGCATCCTAACCCAATCCTTTATTTTTCACTCCACCTCAGATGAAATAGCCTTCCTTAGAAAAGCATTTCCTAAATTATTCCCTAACTTCATACCCTTGATTAAAATGCCCTTAAACTTGGATTCTGTATTGCACTCTACAAAATTCAAGTTAAATAATTTTGTAGCTAGTTTATTAACAGTTCTTTCCATTGCTAGTACGTAGGCTCCTTTTTACTGGGAACCATTTTATTCAGTATTGTAGTCTCAGACTTTAGCATAATGCCATTAGAAATTCAAAATTTAGTTAAAGAATAAAAGAACATATAGACTGAATGAATAACTGTTGAAATTATAGGAATAGTCATCCTATTTTTTTAAAGCAAGATTCAATACATATTTACCTCACACACTACACAATTTATACTGTGTAGGTATCAATATTGAATTCTGAAGATAGAAAAGAGTGCTTTTCCATTCTGTTGTACCTATAGTACCCTGTCTTGCCAAACCATGGTTATTCTAGTTGTTAACTTCTGTTGCCTTCCTATCCTATTTCCAGATGTTTACTAACCCTCCACTATATTCCCGTAATATCTCATATACAATCCTGTTATTAAAATTGCCTCATTGGGGCACCTGGGTGGCTCAGTCAGTTAAGCGTCCTATCTTTGGCTCAGGTCATGATCTCACAGTTTGTGGGTTTGAGCCACACATTGGGCTCTGTGCTGATAGCTGGGAGCCTGGAGCTTGCTTTAGATTCTGTGTGTCTGTCTCTCGCTGCCCCTCCCTAGTTTGTGCTCTCTTTCTCCTACAAATAAATAAATAAACAAAAATAAAATTGCATCATTGCATTAATATTATTTACCTTTATGCTCCTAACCCCAGATCCTCATCAAACTTTTTTCAACATGGACCATTTAAGTAAATCAAAAGACTCTAGAGGTCCTTCTGCCCTGACATTTCTCATAGAAAAACTAATACATGGCAGTAAAGAAATAAAAGAAAACATTAGAACAGTCAACAAAGGTATAGAACAATTGTACAGGGGTGCCTGTGTGGCTCAGTTGTTTAAGTGTCCAACTCTCAGTTTCTGCTGAGGTTATAATCTCAATTTCATGACTTCAAGCCCCTCTTTGGACTCTGTGGTGACAATGCAGAGCATGCCTGGGATTCTCTCTCTCTTCTTCTCTCTCTGTTCCTCTTCTGTTCACAGCATCTCTGTCTCTCTCAAAATAAATTTTAAAAAATATTTATAAAAAAGGAATGATTGTACAATACAGTGATTAACAAAGTAAAACCATAGAATTATACAAATATATTCATTATTATAAGAATAGCATAGATAGAAACTACAACAAATGCCAGCACACTATGAATCATGCGTTGATTAAAAGAGCATTCCTTTGGAAAATTATAGGAATTCCAGCTACTGCATATTCATATGCACAGTAAGTTTTTCAAAGTTACCAAGCACTTGTGTCATGTGCACCATTCAATAAGTCTGAATGGAATACTGAATATGAATACTTTATGAATACCTAGCATCTCACTAATTTAAATTAATGGATACTAAATTTTGTAAATCACTTACTGATTATTAGATTACCAGTAAGCAGCCTTACATTGTCTATAAAATTAAAATGAATGGATTATAATCATATTTATGTCACTCTGTAACCATTTGAAAGTACTTTCATGACAGTCACTGGGCCATGATTGTTACTCTGATCTACACTGAATTTGTTATGTACTTATCCTTGAACCCTATAATATGTGTCATTTGGTTTTACGGGTATCTTAGCTAAGTAAGTCTTGGCCATATTTTACAAATTATTAAAGTTAGTGCAGGTGCTTATTATTTTAAGGATTTATAAAAAAGCTGATTATATATAATCAATAGTTTAACCATTCTTCTTGTAAAATTTAAACATTATCCAAAAGAATTTTTCCTTTGATTCCCATCTTTCAGACATTGTGCTTAAATATATGTAAAATAAACACAAAAAATATCATATTTTATGTATCATATTTCTTTTTCATAGCATATTTATATGCTGCTTACATTTTGCATTTTTATTTCAAGAAGCATCCTAATAGATATTAACATATATAAATAAATTTTTATACTTGCATTTGTTTTAATTCAACATTGCATGCTGAAATTTGATGTTAATGATATTGATATCCTTTATACTTTTTTTTCCTTTATACTTTTAAACCATTGTACAATATTCCATGATATTTATATACATGAGCACTTTCTCACAGGTCATAATCCATTTTGTATTTTAAACAAGCTAGAATGAACAACTTTGACTATTTCTATTTTACATCTGTGGGATTATTTCTTATGGTTGATGGTGATAAGAGAAATCACTCAGTTATATAGTCTTCACATTACAAAATTTAATGGACATTGGTAATTAGTTCTGTGTAGGACCTATACAAATATATATGCCCAGGATCTATTTCTGAGGGTGATAGACATTTCCACAAATCCTTGCCAACATTCTGTTACTATATTTGCTTTGTTTTCAATTTGGATTTTTAAATATAATTGAGGATATGATTATTAATGATTTAGATGTTTCAATCACCCTAACTTATTTGTTTAACATTCAGTCCTGCTACAAATATTTATTGAGCATCCCTGAGAAGATAGTGGTAACTTATGTGACGAAGAGTCTTAGTGTTGCTCCTCATAGCCATCTGAATACCTGCTAGAAGATAATCTTACAGAGAGGACTTTTCTCTGTGTGACCATAAGTTTTATATAGGACCGTGCTAAAAAAAAAAAAAAGGTTCCTAAACATGACACTATTATCTATTTAAGTTGCCTTTTTAAATATATATATTTTTTTATTTTTGAGAGACAGAGAGAGACAGAGCACAAGTAGAGAAGGGGCAGAGAGAGAATGAGACACAGAATCTGAAGCAGGCTCCAGGCTCTGAGCTGTCAACACAGAGCCCAACACAGGGCTCGAATTCACAAACATGAGGTCATTACCTGAGCCGGAGTTGGACACTGAACCAACTGAGCCACCCAGGCACCCCTGTATTTAAGTTGTATTAGCATAAAATATTCCTATCTCCTTATTACCCAAAGCTATCAAATTTGTTCACATAAGCATGTGGTATTAGTTTCTCTGTCTTTTTAAATAATATCTTTGGGGTATTGACAATTTGATATATTTTTATAGAATATAGTTGAAAAATAAGCACGTAGCTTCAGAAAGGAAGACATTATATTATACCTAGTGCATTGGTAGCAAAATCTCTTATTTAGTTAATAAGAAAATGAAGACCTTTGAAAAACAGGGATTGTATTTGGGACAAATTTTCACAGAGCTTAGTAGCCAGTCAGTATACATTGTGTATTAAGTGCTAAATTAGGCACAATGGAAAATTTCTGTTTTTCTCTGAGAACTTAGAATATGGTAGGGGATTCACAACTGCATGGCAACCCATCAGCATCTGATTTAGAAACTCACAGAGAAATCATAGGGCACACCTTAGATTTGACCACACAGATGGATAATTAAGGTGAGAACAATTCTTAGAAGAGAGATTCCTCAGGGGATAGCTTCCTAAAGATATGAATTTCAAGTTAGGTATAGTGGAAAAAGATGGATTAATAGGAAAACTCAGAGAATATATTCCAGGTGAAGATGGAGTTAAATAACTATGTCTTGACTTGATGACTGTAAATCCTATGCAAAAACAATTGCTCACAGAAACCAATAAAATCACTTACTTAATCTCTCTTTTCTTTTTATTCTGTTTTCAAAACTGCAGTTGAAATCTGGAGAGACAGCTGCCAACATTGCTAGAGAGCTGGCTGAACAAACAAGAAATCATTTGAATGCTGGAGACATCACCTACTCAGTCCGTGCTATGGACCAGCTGGTAGGACTCCTAGATGTACAACTCCGGAACTTGACCCCAGGTGGAAAAGATAGTGCTGCGCGGAGTTTGAACAAGGTAAGGACTTTAGTTATGTATCTCTAAAGCTGTAGCAGAATCAGTGAGACTTTCTGGTTAATTTCTCTCTTTCTATATAGTCAGTTTGTTCTAAAGAGCATCACTAGTCCTATTCAGTCTGCTTCACTATTTTGTTATTAATGATGACCCACCCTATTTGGCCTCTAAGAACACAATAAGTGATAATCTCTCCATATATTTTTTGAATTTACAAATCTGTTTTCTTTAGTGTTTACCGTTTTTGAATGCTAAATTCTGGCAAGGTCAATATGAGTAAATGTGATTTATTTTGCTCTTTTTCCATTCAAACTTTTATATTAAAATAATTATCATAAAACAAATGTCTAATCAATAGGTATAAATTTAGAAAATAGCCACAATGAGAAAGGATATTAGCAATTCAATAAAGATGTTTTAAAAAATGAAATGACTTAATCTAATTAATATTATACTTAAAACCTCATGAGGCAAGTAATTAGGTTTTAATTTGTATTTCCTTTTGATATTTAAATTGCTCAGATTTTCCTTCACTATGTTAACACTTAGAAGGTTTAATTGTATTTCAGCAAATTTGAATTGTAAATAATAAAAAATAATACATTTTTAAATTTCAGAAAGGATACATTTTATGTATTCTTATTGCTACTTATAAATATACAATATATTTACATATTACATAAACATATACAAGCATTTTATATTTATTGTATATAACCTATACATTATATCAGCACTTTATTTACATAACTATGTAAAATATATTTTACATATTTATAAGGAATGTAATTTATTACTTTTATAAAATCACATGGTGAATTAACTTTAGGATGAAAAATATACTAGAATTGCTACCATCAAATGACATATGTTCCCTGAAAGGTATTTGTGCAGGAGAAGTGATCAATTTGGATTTGAAAGCCTTGAATGTCTGATAATCCTAATACTTTAAAAAGCAAGAATTTGGTAGTAACAGACTAAAGTCCTTAACGCAATTCACTCAATGAACATTCTCCTTTAGAATGACAAATGACTTCTGAGTGGTGTTTTAATATGTTCAGTTCTTTTGTGTCTTATTAGACTAAAAGTTGCACTGATAAAGATGGAAGAAATTTTTCAAATAATGACTGTTTGATATAGGAAAGTCTGCTATTTTATTTGGAAAATACAGTTTTTCCTGAAATTTCATCCTCAGAAAACCGATCCTGTTTTATCTAGTAGATATAAATTATTATTAAAGTTTTTTTTTCATGTTGAGCATAAAGGAGTTATTTTTGTCACTTATGCCCCTGACAGAATCACAACCAAGTCCCTGATAAAATGTAATCCGCAGCCGCCTATGTAATCTGGGCATGCTGTGATTTTAATGTGTTATTACCCAGGCTGACTAGATGCTATTAATGAACATTGCTGCCAGCTATTGTTATCCTAATGTAGTGGAAGTAGTAATTTCTATTAATGTTACATATCCATAACATTACTTGTTATAGCAATACTTTGTATCTTTATTTAAAAATGGTGTTGATGTCTGACAATATCAGGTAAAGCTGGCAATTAATGTCACATTCTAACTGGCTACAGCTAATCAGCTTGCCTACTCTGAATATCAAATAACTACATAATGGGCAAATTTCCATTTGTGAAGCTTTTTAATGCTTTCTTTTGTTCCCATTTGGCTCTTTTCAATTGTTTATATAATGTGGTTTGTCATATGTTAATTTGCATGATGGGGTAAGGAGATGGGAGGGCAAAGGTTATTCACATGCTTGCTGGCTTGCTCTCATTTCCTGTGGTTCCCACTGTTCCCCGAAGCAGTTATAACCCATCAGATTTGCAAAGTCAACTTGGTACAAATCAATTGAACTCCACATTGAAATTCTGAAGGGTTTAGAGTCCTGCAACACCAAGATGCGAGTCAGTGATCCAAATGACAGCGCTGGCAATTTACTTGCACTCATTCCTCACTTAATTCTGTAGAGGAGTAACTGCAGTATGCTCATTGAAGAATGCATGAATTAAAGTTGGGAGAGTATTAGCCACACAAAAGGCATCAGAGTAACTGCTTCTTAAACCTGGGTAATTTTCTCCAACAATCAGGACTACTGAAGGGAAAAAAATTAGGGAAGAGGAAGAAAATCACAATCGAATGTATAAAATGTTTGTCATTTATTTAAACAGGGCAATTAAACTTACTAATTACTCATTCTATCACCAGAAAATAAAATGTTTGGGATTGAATATGAGTTATTGTTAACCTTTTGCCCAGAAAAATCATCACTCTGTATGCAAACAAATAACAACAAGGCTTCTTATCCCACAGAAGTTTCTAAAATGTATACATTTTTTTTTTTTGGTCAAAGCTGTGAAAAGAAATTATTCAAGTAATAAAAGCAGTGATAAGTCAGAAGATTAATCACATTCTTCTAATCATAAGTTACTTATCTGTTGGTATCTTTCCCTTGGAATCAAATAATCCTATGAATGGACATTTCTGTTTTTCTGATAAACAGAATTTTTTGTGTTTGAACATACAGTTTGTGGTGCATATTAACCATATCTATAATCTTTAAACCACAAACAATGTGGATTCCAAAGTTTTGGTATAATTTCCTTAACTTCATGTCTTCATTTGTGGCCCATGAATTAACCGCTAACCTGGTGTGAAATGAATCATTTCAAATAACTGAAGTGTAATGATTTTTACTAATTTCTACTACATTTATTCCCAGATTTCCTCCCATCATTAACAACTTTATACCATACAGTTTTCACCTGGGTTATTCTGAAAGGTGGCTGGCGACTATCTTTCAAGCCATGGCTTACATTTTGCTGCTGCTTAGCTTTCATCTCCTCTAGAAAGTAGTGCACAACAGAATAAGGTGTTTTGTGTAGATGCATTCTTTTATTTTTCTTGTTTTCTTCTGTCACTAACTTGTTTTTTCTATTCTGTGTTTAATCTGCTGTCTTAATGGATTCAGCTTCAGAAAAGAGAGCGCTCTTGCAGAGCCTATGTCCAGGTACTTTCTGCGTTTTTATAAATGTGTTAAGTTGTTGAATTGTCTCTGTTGACGATAGCATTGATGGGCATCTATCTGATAGAAGAACGGTAATGTACCCTGTTGAGCTAAACGGATTTCAGGGAGGGCATGAAGGGTGGGCATAGAAAGACATGTAAAAGGAAAAGAAATTTGGCAGTGTCCATGTTCTGTCATCCAAGAAGAAAACAGACCAACAAAGAGATGTAACTTGGTATGTGAGTATTTTGATCAAAACTAAAAGGTGAGTTGGGTGCCAAACGTAAATCTCTAATTTCTTTATACAGGTGTGTGTGAAAACATTTCATTAATACATTGGGGCTAGCTAATATTTGAGTAGCAAATCATTCAAAACTGACATGTAATCAGTCATATAAGACAAATAGTCCAGAACACTTAGAATGTCATGCTTCTGTACCAAAATATTCCACCCATGCTGTGACTGTCTTATTTTCCCACTCATTATAAACATCTTAGTCCTGATATAAATATATTTTTTTCTCCATTTACCATGTTGCAATTTGTTTCTAAGCAGATAGAAACCATTTCTTTGTTTATGGGTTCTGTGTGAAAGAATGGCAGAAACAACCTTTATAGTTCTTTTTACAAGGCAGGAAGGCAGTGTAGAGGTTTGAAAATTTTTTCCTTTTTCCCCTCTAGGTTCTTTGGCTGTTCTAATAATTAAATTGACATAATACAGATTAACAGGAGAAAAAAACAACTTTAATTCCAGATGTACAGGAGCCCCCCACAGACATACACTGGAAGGCAGTCAGGCAATTGGCTGTTATCCTGAGCTACGGAATGGGATAAGGACCTGAGACTTCAAAAAAGAGGAGGGAAAATACTTTACTTCAAACAGACATTAGAAAGATAAGCTTTCAATATGAATTTTACTGTATAAATTTATGAATCCTTGAATATTAGAAACATTCAGTTAGTTTTTTTGTATTTTCCCTAAGGTTTTTGGGGAAAAAAATTGCCTTTGAGATATATATACATATACACATAAAACCTATCCTCTTAATATGTATAATAGGTAGAGAAATTGAAGTGTTCTTCAGCAATGAAAGCTGAAGATCATTTTTTAGCAATTTTAGGATCGTTTTTGATTGCAATCTATGCTATCCCTTTAATGGGGCCTTGGAGATAATTAGCCTTTCGGTATTTAAATCTATGAAATGCATGGTCATTCAAACATGAATCTCTGATGGAAAATTAATAGCACAATTTATTCAATGGCTGATTTCCTGGTGTTATAATTGACTGTGAGTAAATGTTTCAACTATTGACTAAACATCTGATAAGACCAAATACAAACAGAATATTTGTGAAGTAGAAATGCTCTGCTCACTAAGACATGGCATTACTTCTATTCATTTTAATATAGATGATTACTCTATGAAATTCTAGTGTAAATAATACTTTAAACTTTAGTCTATTTGAATTTTAAAGACTTCTTTTATGTTCCCTATTGTTTCTAGGTTTGTTGCACATTCTGAGCTATCTATATGATAGGGATAAAATACACTAGAAGTGCTTTATGCATTAAATTTGAAAAAAATATAACTGTTTAAACAGCATGAGATTCTTAAAAACTATGGCCTTCCATGGGCACAAACAGTGATTCTTCTAGGTTTGACTTTGACCTTCAAATCCAGTTAGCTTTTAATTATTTAGAGGTACTGTGTCTATTCTATGAATTATCTAGATCAATCTTTTACTTCTTCTTACTTCCTATATTTGTTTATTAAACAGAAAAAGCACAGTAAAAACTGAACCATCATCTGGCTGCCATGATAACTGAATACTGTTCTGTAGGTGAATAATTAAAAGGTGATTGCTTCGATTTTTAAATAATATGTGAATCTTCTAATACTCAGTATGCTTGTACCTCAAAAATTTTAACAAAAAAAAAAAAAAATAGGTCCAGTATTTTTTTCATTTAGTTTTTTTAGATTACACTAAAATCTTTGTTCACCACCAAAAAATAGAAACTGATATGAGTCATAGTAAAAAAAAAAAAAAAAATTATTATCATGTCTTGGGCAAAATGGATACCTTCATTCAAGAATAGAGTTTTAAGTATTATGCCAAAGAGGACAAATAAAGCTTGTGTTACATGTAACACAATGTGTTATGTAACACATACCGTGATGTCATATATTAAACGATGGTACCTTAAAAATTAAAATGAGTTCACTAAGATCTGAGAGATAAGGTGACTTGACCCACTAGCATGGATGGCACTAACACAGCTATTCTAATGTGTCTATAATACTATTGTAACATCAACAATGATTTATTATTAAGAACAAATGCATTTATTAGGCACTAATTCTGTGGCCATCACTGTGTGGAGCAGTTTGTATAAATTCTTATTTAATAGTCACAGCAATCCTATGATATAATTATTGCTACTTTTTTAATGTTTGTTTATTTTGAGAGAGAGAGAGAGAGAGAGCGCGCACAAGAGAGGGGTAGAGGAAGACAGAGAGAAAATCCCAAGCTAGCTCTACACTGTCAGAGCAGAGCCTGTTGTGGGGCTCTAACCCATGAACCATGAGATCATGACCTGAGTGGAAATCAAGAGTCAGACGCTTAACCAACTGAGCCACAAAGGCACCCCGATTATTGCTATTTTTAATTTAAAGTAGAGAAAATGAGACCTAGGGAGAAAATTAAATGACTTTAACAGATTATACCATAGTAGTGAAGGGGGTCCTGAACTCAAAGCTTGAACTTCCTGATTCTGAAACTCATGCTCCAAATCTTAGGATATGGCTATTCCAGAACTGACTTCATTGTTTGGTGTTAGGAGTCAGGATAGATCTACTGGTTTATGTTTATTGATTTATTTTATGATATTTCAGGGATGGTATAGAGTAAAAGAGGGTTTTTTCCCTCCTTTTTGTTTGAGATTCAGTTCAAATGACAGTATGGTCATAATTTTGTACTGCTAAGTTCAACTATACACATAACTTGCTTTGAGGTCCTTTTGTTTTCAGAGGACACTGTGATTTTAAAAAATCATCATATTAAGAAAAGAAAAGAAAAGAACAAATAGAAAATACAGTAACTCTGTGTAAAAGGAGGAATTGTAAAACCAGTTTCCAAAGTGACTACACCATTTTACACTTCCAACCAGCAATACATGAAACTTTGAGTTCCTTCACGTCCTTGGCAACATTTCTTATTTTCTCTCTTTTTTGATTATAGTCATTCTAGTACAGGTGGATTGCAGACATCCTTAACTCCAGTCATGGAATGGGTTTTGGGGTGGGTCTGGGAGTGCCATCCATGAATCAGTAAAAAGTCATATGGCTCCCAAGAGAGATCTGTGGTTTTTCATGAGACTCTGGGAGTAGAGGTTGACCTCAAACCACTCAAGTACTGCTATCATCTTCTATAAACGAAACCAGAACTTAGATTTGCATTTTTTTCTCATTTGTCAACCCTGTTCCCATGTTTTTAAATAGTCATGTTTGTTAACAGTGTTCTCTTCTTTACCAGGAAATATTAAGAATTACAGGCATTCATTTTTCACAGATTTAAAAGCAGGACATTTTCCTAGTTAAGCATTATTTATTTTTAAAAATTTTATCAGCAATGCTTTTGGTTCTCCAGATCTCACAGGCATCACATACTCTCTGTAGATTCTGCAGTTGACCTTGCTTAATGGAAAACATAAGTATGTATAGTTATGGATATGAATCTTTTGAGTCATCCTTTGGAACGTGCTATTACCTGCACAGTCAGGTTGAGAACTGGTTGGAAATAAGTGATAGATGCAAATGAACACACACACAGTTTTCTTCCTTCCTTCCTTCCTTCCTTCCTTTCTCCTTCTCCTTCCTCTTCCTCTTCCTGTTCCTCTTCCTCTTCTTCTTCTTCCCCTTCCCATTCTTCTTCTCCTTCTTCTTCAAAGGCAGATGGTTTGTGTTCTTTAAAGCGTACAAAGAATTTGAAACATACAATCTTTCGATTTTAATTCACAAGTATGATTTGCTCATTACTGATTTATTAATTTAGTTTGTTTGTTTTGCCTTAATTATCCACTATATATCTCTGTGCGAGGCACCAGCAGTGTCAAAACAATGTCTGTCTCCAACTATGGAAAAATACCACATAATAATTAACAACAAAAGCATTCAGGGATTAGTAGTTGAGCACATGAGTCCAATAACCTTATCAGCTCTGGGATACAGCAATGCACATAACAGGCAAAATCCTACTCTCCCTCGTAGGATGAAATTTCTAGGGGCAGAATATAAACAATACAGTAAGTATGTGAAAAATATGACATGTGAGATGATGATAAATACTAAGGAGAAAAATAAATGCATCACTGGGTTGATATTTGAGCAAAACTGAGGAGGTGAGGGAGTGAACTATGCAGATATACAGGGAAAGCACTCTCACAGAAAGACAGAAAATGTCTGAGGTAGAAACATGCCCATGGTGTTCCAGGAGACCAGTGAAGCTGGTGCATTGTAATTTTAATTTTTTTAATGTTTATTTATATTTGAGAGAGAGAGCAAGACAGAGTACAAGCAGGAGAGAGGCAGAGAGAGAAGGAGACACAGAATCAGAAGCAGGTTCCAGGCTCTAAGCTGTCAGCACAAAGCCCAACTCGGGGCTCAACCCCACAAACTGTGAGATAATGATCTGAGCTGAAGTGGGACACTTAAAGGACTGTAACTGTTGCATTGTAAAAGAGGAGAGGGTAAAAGATCATGAATCTGCAGGGTAGCAAGGGCCCAGATTTGACCGACCATTGTAAGGATGCTGGCTTTTATTCAGAGAGACACAGTAAACCACTGAAGGTTTCAGAGTAGAGTGATGACATGACCTAATGTGTTTTATAAGTGAAAAATAGATTCTTGCAGAAAAGCTAAAGGCTGAAACAGGGTGACCAAGGACAATACTGGTCAGAGTATGAGTGTGAGATGCTGAGATAATTACTCAAGTTCAGGATTTCT